TTCTGTCATGTTGTGTCAGGATTTTCAGTCGAGAGCGTGCGTTGATCGGTGTGGGCAAGAGGGACGAGGGGGGAGGGAAGGGGGGGGGATGAGGACGAGAAATTACCACATACTTTACTTTTTGCTCGCTGCGGTGCAAGGCGGGGTCATCGGATATAGAGCTTTTCTTGGGGGTAATCATAGGTTCAGTCCAGAGATATGAGAGGATCTGATTGTAAGATCCTCCTCAGGGTCAATTAAGCCAGCTATTTTCATCCTCTTGTGGCAAGGTTGCCCACCGACATCAAGGCTCGTACCGACGTTTTCCAATCTTGGCATCGTTAGACCCTTCGCTCTTCAGTCTTTAAGTGAAGGGTTAGCCTCACTCTCATCCTGAAGTTGGCTCTTGCCTTTGATAGGGCAAGCGCAGCCTCCGCCTGCGACTGAGTTCAGAATTCTACTGAGGCTGTGCAGAGGTGCTGTTGGACTCCTGCTGTTGCAGATGTGCACTGCTGTCCCAGAGTATTTTGTTCAGTAGATTCTACAGCTTGGCTCTTCGTGGTCAACTGTGCGAGGTTCCCGCCAATGCCGCTTGGGCCCGGTCACCAGGCCTCGAATTATCTCTTGGCTACTGGCCCCGCTTGGAGCTTGAAACCTCCGAAATCGGAAATGTCTTCCGTGCTTGCCTGCTGGCTGAAGGTCCCCATGCCAACTGCCACCCCTTCTCCAGGGGATCGTTCTTTGCTCAGCCGACCTATACGGCTGTGGTATACTTTCCTGACTTGCTTTCAATCCTTTCTTGGCAGTACCTGAGGTGAAGAAGCCATTCGAGAGGCTTGCAAGGTGCACATGCTAGCAGTTGTTGGAGCTGAAGCCGCGGCATCGTTTCTGGAAGGCGCATGACATTGGCAAAGCAGCTTTGATCATTTCGAAACTTCCGGCCAAAGTCTTGGTGATTCTCAAGAACCTCGAACTGGCTTCGTTCCTCTCTTGCGCATGCACTGATTCTCTTCTGATAGGATGATGAAGGGCTGCAGATCTTGCCCAACGTGCTGGAAGAGCTCTGTCAGGGGCTGGTTGACGTGCTGCTGGCATGCTCCGATACTGCCATTGCTAGTAATTGTGTACGCAGCCTTCGGACCGACCAGGGAGGAAGTAGAATTCTGACATCCAACGATGCTAGCAGAAGGAAGGGGCTTGCGAACAAGTTTTCGATTCATTTCCAAAACACTGATCAAAACGATATGGGGATCCGCCTACCCAGCTTACCACTTTGAGGGTTACCTTTGTTTTGACAGGTTTGGATGCATGCGCTTTCCAGCACAAGTTTGGGTCAAATTCCTCCGCTCGATGCAAAACAGCGGTTGGCAATTCAGTCTTTTCGATACGACTCTGGGACGTTCTGTGTGTGGTGGCACTTGGTGATGTGTTTTCAACACTGGGTAGGTCTCAAAATAGGGGGACCCCAATATAGACCCCCAAATACAATAGTCCTTATTATTGGGGACCCCTAAAAAGCACCCCTAATTTTAGGAAACCCACACTTACATGCCGAAAAAAAACACAACGACGCAACAATGTTGTGGGCCACATCTGCCCGGGCACTGGGCGATCCTACCAAGCTGGGCTTCCTCAAAACCAAACCTAAGCTGGACTTGATTGTTTTGTGGTGCTGGAGCGCGCAGGGTGCCTGAGCTGGATTTGATTGTTTTGCAGTGGTGGAATGCTAGGGGTGCCCCAGCTGGATTTGCTTGTTTTGTGGCGTTGGAAAGGAAGGGGTGCGTCTGCTGGATTTGGTTGTTTTGTGGGTGGAGGAATGAAGGGGGTGCTTGAGCTGGATTTGGTCATTTTGTGGCGCTGGAATAGCAAGGTTGCTTGAGCTGGATTTGGTTGTTTTGTGGTGGAGGAAAGGAGCGGGCGCCTGGGCGGGATTTGATTGTTTTGTCGTGCTGTAATCGAAAGTGTGGAGGAGCTGGATTTGATTGTTTTGTGGTGCTGTAATGGATGGGGTGCCTGAGCTGGATTTGGTTGTTTCGTGGTGGAGGAAAGGAGGGGGCGCCTTGGCTGGATTTTGTTGCTTTGTTGCGCTGGATTGGGGGGTTGAGCTGGATTTGATTGTTTTGTGGTTGTTGGAATGGAAGGGGTGCGTGGGCTGGATTTGGTTGTTTTGTGGTGGAGGAATGGGGCATGCAGTGAGCGGCAGGCGAGGAACGACGATATTGATAGTACATGCCCACCCCCACACTAGCATCCGGAAGGTTGCCCCCGTTCATCAACCCATTATTAGTCGAAGGGCGTGCGCTGAGCCTATATACAGCCCAACTCCGCAAGCTATACAGCCCACTTTGACTTTGAGTCATGTAAGACCGCACGTGCGCATGTTAGGACAAATTGAAGCGTTTGTGCAGGGTTGCTTGTTTGCTGCTTGAAGTGTGCGCATTGTGTACTGCAGTTTGAAGTCTGTTCGTCGATTGGACATATAGCTGAAGGTTGCAAACAACAATCTGCGAGATCCCTTTCAACGGTTCTGCTGCGAGTCCTGTGCTATGCTGCTGGAGCAACTGGTCTGCTGCCGCTGGCGCAGCGCCGTGATGCGACGTGGTTCTGGGCACGACGACAGCTCCAATGCCTACCAGGTTGGGGCGCGGTGGGGTTGTGGTTGTGGTTATGGCGATAACGCATATTCCCAGATCAGGGCTTCTGCGCGCTGATAGGCAACACAACTACCTCCGTGGCAGTCCTGAGATAACGTTGCATTTTCCTTGTGTAGTTTGCGAGGGCCCCTGACAGCATAGAACAGTTGCGGACCGTCTGTGTGCTGACCGTCTGTGTGCTTGAGTTCTGCCCAAAGCACGTGCCTATTGGGTAGGGATATGTTGCGTCTGCCTGGTTTGAGCGACGCAAGACCTTTGCCAGCCTGGTTGAGGTGCTGCAGCAGCGAGGGTGGCTAAGTTTTTGAGTGTGCTGCGTGAGACTGGAGTGAAGTCAGCGTGGGACCCTGAGGGCCGCTCAAAGTCGGAGTTGCGTCTGTTGTTGAGAGACGCAGGCCTTGGTCATTGCTGGCCGTGAGTGAAAGCAAGAGTCACCCGACTGGGTCTGATGTCCCCACTTTACATCCGTATGCATGTGGATCGCTGCAGTGGATCGGGCTTGGAAAGTCATCCCAGGTCGTGAGCATCGACGTGGGGCGGGCGGATAAGGAGTTTCGCGAGGATCGCCTTGCTGGGTCACCCCGGGCTCCGTATGAGGCTCGGCGCCAGTCACTGTCGAGAGCATCAACGGAGTGGGTTCCTTGTTAAAAGCTGGCCTGTTCCGCAGTGCAAGATCACAGTAAAGCGTGGCCAAGAGCAAGCGTGTGGGACTTGATACGCTCACAAGCAATTAAATCGATTGTGCGGGGTATGAGGCCCAAATCGCCAAAGCTTGGCTTGCGTCTTTAGGCGGCAGGTCCTGCCGCGTTTGATGAGGAGTTACGTGCCATGCGTAGGCTGGACCTCCCGGCAAGCGTGCAGTTGCCATTCCCTGGCCCTAGATTTGGAAAGGTGGTTTTTAGGCCCGCTCTATGCGTGGTCTTCGGCCATACAAGGCAAATCTGGGCCGATGAAAATTCCGGCCATGCTAAAGATTCTGTTTTGCTGGCTAGCCGACAGGTCAGCGACGGGGGACCGCCTCCAAAAGCCCGCGAGACCTCCGCCAGGAGAGTAGCTAGTCTTCTTCACGGATGCTAGGGCGGAAGATGGCCGGGCTTGGATAGGAGGATTTCTAGAGATGGTGCCAGGCTGCCATGGACCGTGGTTTTCCCTCGAGGTCACGCGAAGTTGGGCTCCTTGGGCCTTTGCTAAAGACAGCCCGAACAAGGTTATCGCTTCGCTAGAGCTGCTGGCTACTTTGATAGCTGTGAAGCTATGGGTCCCTGAATCGAAGGGCCGCCAAGTTTCGAAGCTAGCGATTAGAGGCTATACGGACAATCAGTCCAACGAGGCTATGACTACGAAATTCCCTTCTACTCTAGAACTTTTAGAGCTCGCGGAAGAGCTCGCGGCCAAGTCCTGCGAGCTGGGCCTGACGTGGATCAGGCGAGATGCTAATCAGCTAGCTGACGACCTCACTGACGAGAACTTTAAAGAGTTCAGTCCAGACTTCCGGATACCCTTAAAGGGTGAGGGGATCAAATGACGGGTCCTAGATAAGCTATTGGATCACGCTCACGGATTTCATCAGGAGCTGCTAGATTTCAAGCGGCAGGCAGCCGAACCTTTGAAGGTCAAGAAGTCCGAAAGGCTCCGTAAGCTAAGGCCCTGGTAGCCCTCTGTGGCTACGCGTGGAAGATGGCTAGCTGAAAGCTAGAGACTTATCTCGGGCTACAAGGAGAGTATGGCTAGCGGGTTGCTAGTGTTACAGCGAGCGGACTTCTGCCAACAAGCTAAAAAGACCGGATGCG